AACTAGTTGTCACCTGTTTTACAATCACCCAAGTGAAGCCTGAGCACGCCTTGATTGTGCATCTGCAACATCTGGTCAAATTCAGCTGGCATTTTATGGAAATACTTATTAACTTGTCTGTCATCATAGTAGTGGTTAGTCAGAGTCATGCCCATTTGATGCTTTCAGTAATCTGCAGTACCAGTAGAGGTAGATATTTTATGAAATCATGGGAAAGCTTTTAAAGAGACATCATTAAAACTTTTACATATAAATACATATTAGCTTAATCATTTCTGGCTATGGTTACAAGCGACTTCTTGCCTTTAAATATGGTAAATGGACTGATTCTTATATAGCCACATTCACCCAATCACACCCATTCTCTCAAGCACTTTTTCTATACTGAGTGCTTTTCTAACTTCATTCACACACATTCATACTCCAGTGGATGCATCGGAGAGCAACTTGGGGTTAGTATCTTGCCCAAGGATACTTGACATGCAGACTGGAGGAGCCAAGGGTCAAACCACCAACCTGACATGCATGAACTTCTGCATGCATGTCAAGTTCATACAAGAGAGAGGCAAAGCATGATAATGGATAAGAATTAACTGCAATTTTAGTGGGTGCAGAAAACATGTACAAGTCCCACATGCAAGGTTATTCTCTTTTATTGCACAGAGTACATAGCAGTAAGTCTTTTTTAAAAGGTTTGTATTCTATGTGTTAGCTAAAGTTGAATCAATATTGACAATTAATGCTGAGTTTACCTTGTGCCTTATATGAGTGGTCAATGGAGCTCCAATACCAGGATTCATCATGGAGCAAAGCCTCCATTTTAATCTAGTTGACCAAGAATATGAATATGTGTGGACCCTGATGAGGGAAGAATTAATTTTAATTACCTCATCATATACATCATCATCATAGACAGCATAAAGATTTGTGATACATTTGATTTTCAAATCGAATTATTCAGCTGTAACATGACAAACTGTACAAAATGAAGGTGACAGAAAATCAAGATAAAAATATGGGAAAACAGATACAATGCAGTTTGAAACGTTTATTTTTTTCAGTAATTATTCTGTAAAATTTTAACGGACTGATGGGATGTAACGATCTAAATCTGGATCCATGATCCTTATCCGTTCTGGATACATCTTGCAGTGCAAGTCGGCCCATACATCATTTGATGGTCCATTGTCATACCTGTGATACCTGCAGGTATCACACGTTCTGAGTAGAGCCACTGAGACTGATTTAGGTTTTCAGTGGAAAATATGTTGAGGTTCAGAATCAGAATTTCAGAAACTTAAAATGTTGTTTGACATAATTTAAAACTGAATCTCAATCTGTGAACTAATTTCAACATGAAATGTTCAGAACACGACCACGCTCTGTGCAGGCTGCATTTAAAAAGTATGTTTGAATTTAATTTAATTCCGTTTTAAAATCATTTCAACCTTAACTTCACTCAAATATTCACATCATCTCCAAACCCCAACCATCAGAGACATCTTTCCATTAGTGTGAACAGTTAAAACACAACAAATAAGTGATCAGTAATCATCAAACTTTACATGGATGTTGTGTTTTTGTTTTGTTTATTGTGATTACAACAGTAACTTACAGTAAGTGTTTCCAGTGCAGGGAAGCTGGCAGACAGTGTGACAGCTGCTTTACAGTCCACATGGAGTGATAAGTATGAATGAGGAAATGAGGGTTCATAAACTCACTAATCTTGATTACTGGAATGATGGTTTGACTACAATAAGATAGTCAGATCGACAAACATACTGACTCTAAAAAGTAATTCATCAGGCCTTTTACCACCACTTGATTAAATCCATGGCTGCAACATAAAAATTCTAATTTATTGATTAAGATAGACCTTCTAAGTTGCAAACTTTATTTTTTTGGGTTGTGTTGAATTAATAATGTTGGTAATTACATTGAATTAATTTTATATGTAATTTGAAATTAAATCCCAATGTTAGTGGGTTCAAAATAAAATTCAAGTTGTAATTACTTAAAGAAATTTAATACATAACTTATTTTTTTCCACTGTAACTTCTGATTTCAAATTCCCTCCCCTACTGACTTAACTAGCCCGGGCAAATTCACACATGTTGCGTTGCATGGTGCAAGCTTTTGTAAAAGACACATCAAGGTAAGTAACATTTCATTTACAAATAACAGTTCTACCAAAGCAAAACATTTGTGCTAGTCACCTGTAGTGGATTTGTGTATGATGTGATGCTCATACAGATAAGGAAATACTTTGCACTACCACATTTAGCTAATGCTAGCCATTCTAAACTTTAGCACAGCAGAGGATAAGACTTATAAAGTTTCATTTGACAAAAGTCTTCAGCTAGAGAGTGCAACTGTGGCTGGGAAAAGCATGGTTAAAGTTTTGCTGCAGTGCAATCTAATTTCGATCATAGGCTGATTTTGTTTTTCTTTTTACCAAAATTAGAAGCCTTTAAACTGTGAATAGTTTTGTCAGAGGGATAACCTAGAGGCTTCTTTTTTCCATCTGGGGTAGCCTTAGATCACTTCTATCCTCTTTAAATAATGTATTACAGCATTCATTAATGCAGTATAGCTAATAGTCTGCAAGGTTTAATTCTTCTCTTTCTGTGGTCTACAGATAAAGGAGGAGTTCAAGAGAATAACCACTGTAAGCCTTGAATAGCTACACTTGACCACTGCACCCCAAAACTGATGGATGTCATTTTATCAAGGGGAGGAGCTAAGGGAGTGAGAATCAGGCAGATCAAGGACATGCTTCTTGAGGTAGGACAACTATTTAGACTTTGGGTAGCTTTGAAATGCACTTTGTTGGCAGTCAGCCATGTATTTTATACTCATACTTTATTTTTTCTTAAATAGCACAATACAATTGAAACACGCAGAGAAGTAGCCATCTGCTGCCTTATCACTTTCCTTGGAGAGAAGGAAGAGATCCTTTTCATGGAGTTCGGTATAAGTAATTCAGCATTGTGTGTGTGTGTGTGTGTGTGTGTGTGTGTGTGTGTGTGTGTGTGTGTGTGTGTGTGTGTGTGTGTGTGTGTGTGTGTGTTCCATTGATCATCTGAATTCATTAAGTTTCAGTAAGTATAAAAGTCTAATCTATAATTCACTAACCTATTAATTCCTTAACTTAAGGTTGGCCTTAAGTTAACACCGAAGAACTTAAGGCCAACCTTGAAAGGCAGGTGATGAAAACTGCCATCATCAGTGACCGGTACACCCCTGGATCTAACCATAAGACTGCAACCATTGTGGTGGAGGAAACAAAAATCATGGAGGGCCAGAATTTCCCAAGGCGCTGTGTTTTGCTCATGGGCATAATATATGCTCTCAATCTGAGCTAATGCAAGGATCTGAAATATACTTTTGAAGTTGTTCAGAAGCTGTTCCTTGACCTTGATGGAACCATCATTATGTTAAAGATGTTGACTCTTTTTCAAAAATTGTTAACTGTTTTGAATCCTGTATGTGTAACATTGATCTTAAAGGTGTTTGCTGCATTGTGTAATAGAAAGATGCAAGATCTTGTAAAGTTTGGTAGGCATTGAAAGTTAACATTTACTGAACACTTGCATGGAAGTATTACTGTAACAAAATGTTTTCTAAGTTTTTTTAACCAATTGAACACATTTGTTTCTGTGGTGTTAAATACATAAAGGCATATACTATAACTTGGCTGAGATGGTATAAATCTAAATTTCTGGTTTATTTTCACTTTTTAAATACAAAGTGTTGAAATGCCTACAGTTAAAAAAATAAAGTTTTTTGATAAAAAAAAATGTTGAATGAATTCCTTTCTTAAAAGCTATTACAATAAAAAAATAAGAGAAAGCTAAAATGATGATAATAATGATGAAAATCAGCAACTTAATATTTTAAATAATGAACTTTAAAAAATAGTTTTTGTAATTGCTGTAATTAATTACATAACACTTAAAAATCATTTTTAAATAATGTGGAAAAAGTAATTGGAGGAAGAAAATTTTTACGAGTAAACAACTTAAAAATATGTTTTTAAGATACCAAATATTACATAAATGGTAATTAAAATCACCTTTGATTATGGAGGAAAAGTTAATTCCCCTAACTCAATAGTTTGTTGGTTCAATCTAATTTCAACATAAGTTATCGTAACTCAAAAAGAGTAATGGAAACTGTTGCGTTAATTTTTTTTTGTTGAGCTTAAACAATAGTTTTTAGAGTGCACTGCCAGTATGTCAAGACAAATATCCACACCTACTGTAAGGAGATAGTAGTCAGTGATTGTTAGAGACAATGTCATATTTATCACAGTTTAATAAAGTCCATTTTCTGAGTGATAGCAATCAAAAGGCTGTTGATGGTCACTGCTGGGACATATGCTGACTCCACAATTGTCAGCATTTTGTTTGTGTTATAAAAGTACATAGTACAGTTTGTATCAGACACAGTCACTATGATTGATGATTTACAATTAGAGTAATTTAAAAGTAGTTCACAGTGTTGGGGGGGGGGGGGGGTTGTAACATTAATAAACAACATATATAGATTTGCCAACATCTTCCCTTGGCTGCTTGCTTTAGGGGTTGCCACACTGGATCATCTGCTTTTAGCATGCAGCTCCTGTACGTAGGGCTCGAAGCAAAGAATAAAACAAAGCAAAGCTAAAAACAAACAAACAAACAAAAAACAAAAAAAAACCTTTCCACCTTATATATGTAACTACATCAAAGCAAAACAACCAAGAGTTTGAGTATTATTATTATTGATCTTTTCAGTTTTTTTTTGTTTTGTTTTTTAAAGAAACCTGTTCCCCTTATGTCATATTGACTCTCTCTGACTTTAAACAGCTTCTGAGTACTGCGCCAAAGAAAGTTATTTTGTGCTTTATACATTATCTGTGCCATTTTATATTCAACGAAATCATAAAATTTCAGGGTATTCAAATTAATAAACAAAATGTTAGTTGGTTCTATATAACATTTTGTTTATTAATCTGAATACCCTGAAATTTTATGATGTGATGGCATGATGGCTTTTCTTTTGATCTGAACATTCACATTAAAATATGTGAATTCTCTCACCTCAAGACATGTGTTTAGACAAATTGAATACTTGGTATTGACTACATCATAACATTTAAATGGTTGATCGCTCTAAATACCTTGGATTCTGAAATAACTACCCACAAGTGAATGTCAACATATCCACAATTCCGAAATCTTTTGATAAGTACTTATTCACGTTCACTTAATTTTCCCTCTCCTTTCATACTGTTTATGAAACAACAACAGCCATGAACAGTTCCAGTATGACCAGAATACACCTAACCCGCAGTGCCCTGCCAACACACGTATCTGATATCCACATTCCTGTGTTGTTCCTGGATCAAGAGAAAAATGTTGGTCTAGGATCAACATTGCAACAGACAAATCAATGCCAAAACTTTGAGATTTTTGCTGAATTTGAATAAACTTAGAGTGGCGTTGGGCAGAAATACTGTGGGACTGGGCAAAAGTGACAGAAACGGGAGCGAGCAGTAGTGGTCACAAATTCAGCGGCGCTGGGATTTTAAAAATTGTTTTGCAAAGGACCGATAAAAAGATAAATTGACACAAACCATTACCTTTGCCTGCATCATATGTAGAAATAATGTGTAATTTGTACTATACAGAGACTATGGTGTAGCTTATGAAAGCGGCCAGCAAAGTTCTCTATTCAAGTTCATCCATTCCCTTGCAGTCAATTTAGAAAATGGCAGCAGTAAAAGAAGTAGCTGGAAATGCCTAGGAAATGACAGTACTGATCTAGCCAATCACAGTCATTGTAGACTTCATCCACTCAGTGTTTAATTTAATTTCAATGGAGGTGCAGGCTCAGTTACTGAATTATGACATTGGGTTTCAGGGAGGTTTGAAGTTATGCTGTACATTACCTGTGGTGCAGATTTAACACAGAAGCATGAATCTCACTTAAAATCAGACAAATGTGGTAGTTGTGTGATATGATTTTTGCACTTTTATCAGGCACTATACATTTATCTTCTGCTGGTACCAAAGTATTTTTCATGGTTACATTTTTTAAGATATTGTCAAAATAGTCCTTAGAGTTTTGTTTTCTAAAAATCAAGAGAATGTAATTGAGGTATTTCAGAATACAGGGTGAGAGATATTTGTAATAAAGCACTAAAATGTACAGAGCAATGGCCTTATAAAGGCAAAAAAGTTACTGGATTCATCCTGAGGCTATAGAGAAGGCATTTGACTCTGTACTTTGCTTCTGTGCTGTTGTCTATCCCTGGGAACTATTTTTTATCTGATTTACAGTCTCCCAGGTGAAGCCTGAGTACCCCTTCAGTGTGCAGCTGCAACAAGTGTTCAAACTCAGCCGGCATTGCGTGAAAAAACGTTTTAACCGGTACATCATCATAGTAGTGGTTAGTCAGGGTATAGAGGTCATATGGGTGGTTACTAAAGGGCCAGAATCCATACAGATGTACATTTTCACACAATTCCAGGGCCATGCTAACCATAATGAATCCAGTGCTGAGCCGCCTTTCTTTCAGGCCTTCAGAGCTCCAGAATTGATCCAGACTGTGGAGGTACTGAGCGTTGGAGAAAACAGGTCGAATAGGGCTTTCAAAGTCCTCTATTGTATATGCAGCCCGCTGACACATAGCAGTATTCCTGCCAAAGGAGAAGGCAGGAAGGAGCAGCAGAGAGTTGCCGTACTTGTGCAGACTCTCCACAAATGGAAGGCGACGTCCAGTCAGCGCACCATACCTGTGCAAAAGAAACAGCTGACTTTGAGCAACAACGCATACATAATGTGAGGTGACAAGTAGGGATAGGAATCGAGAGCTGGTTCTCTAAAAGAACTAGTTCCCAGTGTTTGCCTATCAGTCACATTTGTTGTACTTGTCATCAGCTGTTTTAAGTTCATGTGCCAGAGGAGAAAAAAATAGCGGTGTGGCCTACAGTGTAGATTTGGACATTTAATTATTTTTTATTTAATTATTTTTGTTTTTATTGGGAAATACCTCTAATATATACAAAAATTTTAACAACAGCATGCAATTAAGTTGCAGAATGTAATGTCTTTGACATGCTGCTTAGCGGTGACTCAATGTGAAAACAATGAGGACCCAACGAGCCTCAATAAGAGAGTTGATAAGAAATCAAATTGGAAGGTGATTCTGATAATAGAATCAGAATCGTTAAATTCTTATCAGTTCCCTTCCCTAGTGACAAGGAATTATTTCTTTTGCTCACTTTTGGAAAATGATGCTTGGATTTGCTGTCGCAAGGCTAGTTTTGCTGCCAACATCTTTCTCATATCCATTTTCCAAAGGAGGTAAGTTGCACCTGAACAAACAAAAAAGTAGACACAGAAATGGTTAAGTGGAATTTCCACTCTGGATTTGGTCTACATTGGACACTTTTCTCACCTGATAACAAAGTCAGCAGAATCAATCATTTTTCCACAGCCACTGTCAAACAGGATCCCACCATTCCCAACAACCGAACAAGTGTCCCATTGTTTATTTGAGAAAGGATTCTCCTGGAATAGACAGCGAAAGACAAGGCATTATGAAAACACATTTACATTGTTGCTGATTTCACATGTTGAAGGAAAAAGGATTTTAAAAAGACATTTTATTCTAGTTTTATAGTCTGATGCTTTTTATGCTTGCTATTGCTAATGATAGGTCTGTCGTTTTTATAGATTACAACCATGGGAATATTATATCCAAAAGAACAATGATCACAAAAGTGTATATAAATAGTCATAATTATTAGAAATTATTAAAAAAAATGACAAATAACTTTGTTTATTGTGTGGGTTTTTTTCTCTTTTGGAAAAAAAAATGGGCAGCACGGTGGCACGGTGGTTAGCACTGTTGCCGCACAGCAAGAAGGTCCTGAGTTCAATTCCTCCATCAGGCCGGGGTCTTTCTGTGTGGAGTTTGCATGTTCTCCCCGTGTTTGCGTGGGTTCTCTCCGGGTACTCCGGCTTCCTCCCACCATCCAAAGACATGCAGCTTGTGGGGATAGGTTAATTGGATAATCCAAATTGCCACTAGGTGTGAATGTGCGAGTGAATGTGAGTGTGAATGGTTGTCTGTCCCTATGTGTTAGCCCTGTGACAGACTGGCGACCTGTCCAGGGTGTACCCTGCCTCTCGCCCAATGACTGCTGGGATAGGCTCCAGCGCCCCCCGCGACCCTGAAAAGGACAAGCGGAAGCGAATGGATGGATGGATGGAAAAAAAAATTACACACAAAAGTAAATAGAGCTGAAACAGACTATATAAATACAGCGTCTTATAAATGCAATAGCTCCTCTAATGGACAGTGTATCAATTGGGATATGCTCCGATATCAAGCATCTCCAAATAAGATCATATTTAAGCTGTTTGGCCTTTTTAGCAGAGATGCAAAATGCTCCAGGCTTTTAATAACAATTTTGCTTAAATATGTTAACGGTACAGATTTTCAGACAGTTTCTCTCTTGTATGGCTCTGCAGACCGGTCAAGTTTGAGGCTTGAGGCAGACCAGACTACAAAACGTGTATAATTATATAATCACAAATGATGAATTATATTTGAGTTTCTTTCTGTGCAGCTATAAATTGATACAGAAAATGGTTCATCATAAAAATGTATGTTGTCATTGAGGCTGTAACATGTTGCTTTTCAGTTTCATAACCATTTTGATTTTGAGGTTGAAAAAAAATTCAATGCTAGGGACGGTCGTGGCTCAAGAGTTGGGAGTTCGCCTTGTAATCAGAAGGTTGCCGGTTCGAGCCCCGGCTTGGACAGTCTCGTCGTTGTGTCCTTGGGCAAGACACTTCACCCGTTGCCTACTGGTGGTGGTCAGAGGGCCCGGTGGCGCCAGTGTTCGGCAGCCTCGCCTCTGTCAGTGCGCCCCAGGGTGGCTGTGGCTACAATGTAGCTTGCCATCACCAGTGTGTGAATGTGTGTGTGAATGGGTGGATGACAGGTTGTGTAAAGCGCTTTGGGGTCCTTAGGGGCTAGAAAAGCGCTATACAAATACAGACCATTTAGATTTCAGTAAATTGCAGATTGCAGTCACTTCAATTCTGTTTTCTTATTCCTCCTAGTTTGAGTGCATAATCCTTGCTATAACGGCTGCTATACAACAAACAAACTGCTGTTTGTGTAAAAATCTGTATATTTTAACCTATTTGAACCGAGAAGGCTGACAGAGAAAGTTCTATTTGCCAAATAAGACTGAAACCAATTAAGTGCAGTGCCACCAATACCCACTACATCATTTAATCGAGAAATTAGAATATTGTGGTCTACTGTGTCAAAGGCAGCAGTTAAATCAAGCAAGACCAGAACATTGTGGTTACCAGAATCAAATGCCAGTAGGATGTCATTAAAAACCCTTAATAATGCAGATTCTGTGCTATGTATTTAGTTATAAATACTATATACACCATATACACATGCAGAACCCAAGAAAATCAATTGAGATAAAAAAAAAAAAAATACTGTTCACACTTTTTCAGGTTAGAACAGCACAAACAAAATTATCTCCAAAAGCTCATTTCAAAAGCAAAAGAGAGTTCAGTTGAAGATACAAAAAAATAGAAAAGTTGCGAAATAATCACTGTGTCAGTCAAATAAAACATAAGAGAACCAATGAAGATATCAAAGAAGCAGCACAAACAGTTTCCATGAATGAAAATGAACCTACCTTCAAAAACAAGTCGAATAAGTCCTTGTTCACCTGAAGAGTCCTCTTTTCCCCACTGTAAACAATATTCGATCCTATAGGAGTATTGTTCTGTGTCACAATGGCGTTGTCAAAGCCATTGCATGCAACTCTCAGATTAGTTCTGTAAAACAACAAACACTCAGTTAACACTGACTGACTTTTTACCAGATGAGTAGGTTCATACACTTCTGATGTTGCTGCATGTTTAACTTATGTTAGTAGTTATTGCCAACAAAAGGAAAGGTCAGTAATCTGTTTCTGAATGTCATGGCAAGGAACAATATTTTTTTCTGTTTATCATGTTCAATGGAAAGATAACACTCGACAGAGAGATAACATGGAAGGACACCTACAGAGAAGGGTGAGCAAACAAAAGGTTATTTGCTCACCTGTTGTTTGATCTTAACTATCCAACACCATCTTATTAAGATAGTTAAGATCCACAGTTAAACAAGGGAAGATGAAAAAAGGAGCAAACAAAACAGTTAGATCCAGTAAAAATAATAGCATAAAAAAGTTAACCCCATATGTTACTAGAATTTTCTCATTTTATTTTCTAGGGTTTAGATTAGTGACTACCACCACTGCGAGTGTTGACTCCAAAAGCTGTAAGCAATAAAGACAAATGCAACTCCTGATAATGTTTTTTCCAGCTCAAAACCTCTCCATTATATACTTATAATAACATCATTTGTCCATATGGCAAATATCTCTCTGCTCTTTGTTGTGCCATCAGTTTTCTTACAGTTCCTCTGTCCTAAACTCCTTGTGCGTCTTTACTCTTTCTTTCTTGTCTGTAGTTGATTCAGTTCATATAAAAGGTGTATATATATATGTATATGTATATATATATGTATATGTATATATGTATGTATATGTATATATGTATGTATAAACCAGCCCATCATTATCATTTCCCCTCCGGTTGATATACTGGATATCATAGCATTATATCTCATATGCAAGACTAGGCTCCTGTTTGCTGTATGGTAATCTTTTTACATCCAATTCGTATTCTTCATAGAAGAAATATTAAGCATTAGTACTTACCTGAATTTTAAGTAATTTTTCTCGTTCTTCTTCCAGGTTTGATTGTAACGCTGATGTACTTTGTCAATGATTTCCCTGTGACACACACACACGTCCAAACACAGTCAGCAGATCATACCTGTACAGCTGACATGACTTCATTTTTGATGATGGCATAAACAAAGAGGTTTCTCAGGGAAACAGTGTGACAAATCATGCTTTTTCTCACTTGCAGGGTTTGAAAATTTCTGACAGCTTTGGGGCATGTTTCTTTTGAGGAGGTGGTTGGAAAGGTTCCTCACAACTGCAAAAGAAAATATTTTGTTGACAGATCAGACAGTTGAAAAATGCAGATACTGCAGTTAGATCTGCACAATAGCTAAGATTACATATTACAACAGCATTTTTTTTTTTACTATGGTCGGTTGAGCATGATGTCAAAGTGCTGTTTGAAATTCAACATTGTTGTGCGTTTCTTCATTTTTTCATTTTTTGTTTCGTATGTATTAAAACACGATTCTTTGATCCCCATGATAGAACAGAGAAAACCCGACTCATAGTGTCCAAAATATTTATAATTCTTTTTATTCAATCATCTTCCGGAAGAAAGAGCCCTGCACAGCCCCAAAAGCCAGTTGCAGAAACTCTAACATTAGAATTTAAAAACGTCTCACATATAGGTGTTATTTTGGTACGTTGCACGTCACACAGTTTTGATACAAACACTCCTTGTATGGAACAAGTTCCTCTTTTCTGTCTGGCTTCCTGTATTTATTAATATACTTGTATAGCTCTACACTAACTTCCTGTTTTTCAGTCTGGCTTGCTTTACAAACCTTCATTATTAAAGTACATAAAACAATATAATAAGAAAATAAGCACTAAGGATATATTAATTACATGACAGTTCTCCCCCTTTTCGTGTTTCCTAAGAAACACGACATAATTTCTAATTTATCCCATTAAGTTTACTTGCATGTTAAAAAGCTAAAATATAACAAAAGAGATTATGCTAAACAAAACGAAACCTTTGAATTGCCCAACCCTGTCTGTCCCCTCAAAGGGTTGTATGTTTTCAATGTTTCCTTATTATTTTGTCATAATTACTTCTATCCACAACAAATAAATCAAGCTCTAAGACAGCACCTGTGAAATGTGAAATGTCCTAAATCTACTTCCTACACCCCCTTTTTACCCAGAATCCCAATTTAAACCCACTTCTGACTTCCCTCAGTGCTCACTGTAAACTCCAAAAAGATACAATTAGCTTTTTCTGGTAAAAGGTCCTAGATTATTTTGTCAATCTTTGGAAAACATCCTCTATAGAGTTAACCCGTTTCATCTTTAAAACTTAGTCCTGGTTTCTTCGCCCCCTTTAACGGGTAGCGCATATCCGGACTGAACACTGTGTTTGGGCAATTTACATAACATAGAAATCCTACAACTATTCAATCTAAACAACAAATTTTCTGAATCTGGGCGATTCTCTGTGCTCTGTGCTTCTTTTGAGTCCCCCTTTCTCTGGTTGGTTCCGTTCGGTCTGGGGCTTCCAGGATTCTCGCCACCCCTGTGGTTGCTGTGGTCCTGAAATCTTCTCCTGTAAAGGATAGAAAACAAAACGCCTCTCTCTGCTACACCTCAATAACCTACTGTGTTCATCTATTGTTCCCTTAATTATTCAAAGTTGGTTCAAAATATCATGTTCTGGGCTCTACCCTTTATATTAACTTTACTTAATCTTTACTTAATCTTAATTTACTTACTCTCAATGTTCTTTATGTGTGTTAGCAACACTTTTAATTTTATTAAACACACCCAGAGTAAGATATACACCATCACCATATCAGCATAAAAACAGACAGAGACGTTCCTCTTTCTATCACATTCTTCCATACATGGCAATTTGTTTCACCTCCCTTATGATTCCTTGGGACTTACAATTTCTTGACTCTTCTAGGCAGCTCAAATGCAGTTAGAAGCTAAATGAATTCCAGGCCCTCCGCCTGGCCTAACTTTAAATCATTTGTGTTTGTAAGCATGTATGCGGTTTAACCTTCTATTGCTCCAAGTCACTTACACAATAGATCGTCGGGTCATCGCTCCAAACGAAGCTTAAGACCTTGAATAGACTGAGCAACAACTCTTTCATGAGCACGATCTGCAATGTGTGTATACAATGATTATAGCTGCACCTTTAATAAAAGTTTTAGTCTGATGTCAGTAGCTTTAAAAAACATTGTAATGCAATGTTAAAGCCTATATTGCAGCAGTAAAATATTTTCTTTATTCCCAGGATTATCCTTCCCTCTCTTGACCTTTCAAAAAGAAATGTCACCGCACTTTGTGTCGTGTCACTCCTCGGCCCATTCGGTCCATCAATGGCATCATGGCCACCGGAACTACCGCTCCGGGGTCCACTGCCCTCGTTATTACCTTTTCCAGCAGTCCTCTGGCACAAGGAATGAGACAACAACCGCAGGTGACCAGTATCCCTAAAAAAAAAGCGGCAGTAGAAAACATTGCAGACACGAAAATCCCCTTCCATTTCCCAAACACGGAGGTCATCCAGCTGTCCAGCGGATTGTCGATTCCCGAGTGTTCATGCATGGTTTTAGACAGAGTTTTCAGCCCCTCCAGAACTCGGGTTACTGAGCCATCTGGAGCAGTATTGTTTGGGATGAAGGTACAACACGTCTCCCTCTAGTACCAGCTCTTTTAATAATTTACTTTTTTAAAGGGAAAAAACCATGGTCACTTGGACAAGTCTTTGTTATTCTATAACGGCATTTTTATATGAAAAGTCTAGCGATCCCCTATTTGACTCATAAATATTACTTGGGTTGTAATTATTTTCCTCTATCAAATTTAATTTACTGCTACAGTGGCCTGCTTTTGTTAATAGTAACATGAGTAACATCCAACATTTTCTCCCCTTTAACATTTGGTATTTCCCCACTATATAATGTACTACCATAATCTATACACCCAGTCAATAAAACAGAATTTTCTCAAAGCAAACATCAGCAACCCAAAATCAGCAGCCCCAGAATTAAGTCTTCCGCTCCTCCTGCTCATGGCAAAACAAAACAAAACAAAGCAAAGCAAAGCAAAGCATCCCCTTTCTCTTGCCAGCGTGGTGAATTGTTTGTCAACATTTATTCATCCCACCCTTGGTCCAGTCTTTATCTCAGTGTCCAGTCAGTCCAACCTTTAGTCCACAGCATCAGTCCAGTCACAGTCCATTCACACACATTCACTCAGATATTGCTGATAGTGGAGACTCCGCGCAAATAATCAGATTCTCCACCCTCAGCAACATGAGCTCATTCATTGGTTTTATTTTGTTTGGTTTTTTTGTTTTTTAGGAAAAGAGTTCTTTATGCTCTTGGACTGGATTGACTCGCTGCAATCCTTTTAGACAGGGACTTACAACCTGATCAGGTCCCCACAGGTAGCCTTTTCCTCGGCCCATTGTAATCTGGAAAAGCTCCCCTTAAATTTATTCTCCCGAAAATATTTACAGCGCTGTTAATTCAATCTTTCAGGCCTGCTTAGAACAAAAATGAGAAAAAGAGAGCTGATTATTAGCTCATCAAAGCACAAAACATAATCACCTGACAGGATTTCTCTTAAGTGCACTATTACAATTTTAAAGGGCCCAGTTCTAACCATGTCCATGATTAATAAAACTCCCTCTATTAAAATAAGAAAACAACCCCTCTGGCACAAGGAATGAGACAACAACCGCAGGTGACCAGTATCCCTAAATCAACCGACAGAATCAACCCATCACTAAAACAACAACCCCAAAAAATCTTAATCACAGCAAAGTTTTGCTTACTAATTTAACCATATGTTGGCCTCAGGTTCTTCAGCGTCCTGACAGTCTGAGGTCAACTGACATAATTTCACCTGCTAAATACACAGATAATCTTGTTAAAAGCCACACAGTTTTGCACACCATTGATATTCTCATTAAGCCCTTTCTAAAGACGTTATAACAATCTATCATCACTAAATACTAAATTTCCTTTCCAAATTTGGACTACTGCACTTAGTCACAGACCTGACCACTTTATTTAATTATCCTGTATGTTACCAAGCCATTCTTCTCACACAGTCACAGTGTGTCTTTCAGTGCAAGCTTCACTCATCCGGTCAGACAGGAAACCCAAGTTCTCCTTTTTCATTTCCCGTCCCCAGTCATTCAACTAATTTGCATACTGAGTCAAATCTCAAGAAGTTGCGTCCGCTCCACCACAACCACCCACACATGCAGGGCCTTGGAGTAGGGGTTTCTCTTTAACTGCCATGTGAGAGCTCGCTTATCAGGTTTAGTGACACATGGCACTGTAAATAATTCAACCAGAAACTTGGCCTGAACATTTCCAGTGATCTTAACCTATAACTTTCTTCCAACTTCTGCTGGTTGAATTATTTACAGCGCCATGTGTCAATAAACCTGACAAGCGAGCTCTCACATGGCAGTTAAAGAGAAACAGTTGAGAATGCAGGACAAAGCGGAAAGAGAACTGCCTGGTATTGGACTGTTGGAATGCTGTTATTTAATGTGGGAAATCAAAATTTGGGTTAGCAAACCTGGGAAAAAGAAAACTGACTGCTTAAGTGGGAAAATTGTGAAGGAGTCTGAAACACTGCAAAAAGAAACATATACAAAATCACACACACAAACAGAAAATGTATTAACCTTACTAACACTTACAAATACAAGAGAGCTCATGAAGATTAGACAGCATCTTGAGCATGTGAGTCTGTTTATCATATTGTCCAAGTCGCTTAGTGTGATGAAAAGTGATGCAAAGACCAGTGGACTAATAGCAAAGTAGTTAGAAAATGATCCAATTATAGCAGAGAAATGTGTAGGAAAGGCAGCTTTGAGAACATGCCCTGGTGGATCTGCAGCTCCACTGCACAGACATTGATTAAACCTGATTAATAACACACACACATGGAATGAAAATCAGCTTGCTATCTTTCATTAGTGTTAAAATAGTGTGAAGTTAACACACTTAAAGCCTGAAGTTGAGGAATAACTCAGGGAAGTTCCACGACAATAGAGTGATTTTTGTGAAAAGGAAAAAGTGATTAAAGCTTAAGCGCATTACCACCATGCCACTGCAGTCCAGATTACTCTCACAGATGGATGTGCTAATCTGACAAACTAATAAAGGTCTTCAAAAGGCGAGGAGGACAAATAGGAAGAAGACTGCAGAACATTCTGGAGCCCTCGGCCCAGGTAAGAAAAAAATTAATTTGTGTATACACTTTAGAGAAAATAATAATTTTAACAAAATGCTGCTTGTCACTCTATGCCAGGAGTATGTTGAAAATCACCTGGTGGGGGAGATGGTCACATCTTGCAGGAGCTTTCCTCTCTTCAGGAACTCTCTCTACAGGAGGGGGAGATACAGGAGAGGTGGAGGAAGATCTCAGCTGGGCGTTTACTGTCTTATGTAGTCTGGAAGTGAGTGGATGGTGGGGTGGGTGCAGTTTTCTCTGTGGTGGGTTGGGTGGATGTCCCGGGCTCTGTGGGGCCGGGAGGGCTGCTGCACTGGGCCTGGTCTGGATGGGCCTGGGCCCTTCCCTGGGGGTCGGGAGTGTGGAGTGCCTACTGGGGTCAGCGGGGGAGCTGGCCCAGGGAGGGGTTACCTGCCCTCCCTTCCTTCCTCCCATCTCCAGCTGCCTCTCTCTTCCCGCTCACCACACCACCACACATGCAGGGCCTTGGAGTAGGGGTATGTCACCAGGGTGCAGAGGAGGCTACCCCCCCCCTGTCCCCTTCTGGCTGCCTCTGCCTCAATTTTATCCACACTTAGATTCAATTATTCACACTCTCATTACACATACATACAGGATCTTGGGGTGGGCACAATCACGGAGTCCAAATTACATCAGGGTGTACACCTCACCCCTGGCGTCGTTGCCCACCTCTCAATTTTAAATACACTTAGACATTGAGGGCTATCAGGAGGGACTATGCGCTTACCTGCTGCTCCTTGGAGGTAGCTCCATGCCTCCTGGGTTTTAATTGCACCTTAGAACACAATGCATCACACTAAATGAGCGGGTGGAGGGAGGTTTGGAGTCTTCTCCCACCCCATTCTCTGCGGCCTGCTGGAGCGGGGGTAGGTGGAGTTGGCCGTCCGACTGCGGTCTGGGTGTGGGGCCTCCTGCTGTACGGAGTTGGGGTGGTCTACCTCTCCCCACCGCAGGGAAAAGGGTAACACCACCTGGGTCTGGGTGCAGTTCCCCCTCCAGGGGCAGGGTACCTAGACCCGGTTTGTAGAGTACGCTTGGGGAGTGTGATTGTGTGTACAGCGTCTCTTTATGTCTGTCTCCACGTTGGTTGGTGTGGAGTGAGTGCATTTGAGAGCATGAGGGGGGGAATGGATGTTTGTGTCTGTGTGTGCCTGTATGTCTGTGTCTATATGTCAGGTTGGTATCAGACGCCCTCTCTGGGGACACCTCAGGCCTCCAAGGTTTGAGGCCTATCTCCACCTACACCACTTCCCCTGCCGGTTGCGGACTCCTCAGTGTCGGTGCGTTGGTGGTTCTTTGTGTCTGGGGTGGGCGTCAGGTACACACCGCTCACTCCTTGGTGGCCGTTATCGGGCCTGGAGCTGGGCTCGCTCGGGCCCCTTCGGGGTGGGGTGCCCCCGGCCTCTCGGCTGGGCTCGGTCACTCAGGCACAGCTGCGGCGGCGGAGCTCACGGGCGCGTCACTGCAACTCCCCTGGCTTCTGCTCACGGCTGCTGAGTGAACCCTCATCTGGGACTCTCCTCAGCTCTTACTGGACAGTGGCGCGGCTGCCCCTCTGTTGGTTTCCATGGTTTCTTGTGTTCTGGGGCCTCTGGATGTCTGGAGTTTGATCTCCTCCATACTGCTTCACACCTGGGGACGGGGCTGTGGCCCCCACACTCCCTGCAGATCGTTACATGGAGAACCTTTGGAATACAAGCGCGTGATCCACAGGTATGCACGGGTGTTCACTGCTCGTAGACCCAAATTAACCTTTCTTGGCTGCTACCTCGAGCACATCTGTCCTGCGTGCTGCACACACATTGATATTTAGTATTTACTGCTGTTTACATTAGCTAGTTAATGCGATGGTGTGTTTTAGTATGTTGTTTGTTTTTTGTTTTTTTGTCTTTTTTTGGCTTGTTTTCTATTCTTCTCTCAACAGGTGATCCAGGAGATTTTTATTTTTTTTCCTCCCCCCTTTCTCACTGTCCCTCTCCCTTCTGTTTTCCTTTCTTCCTCTTTCTTTCTCCTTTCCTATCTCTACTCATGTCTGTCCCGTCTGTACATCTGAAAATAAATATTAATAATAAAACAAGATCGACCAAATGGACCAATACAGCAATGCCACAATGATCCATTTGGCAAGTGAATCCATTGGGTATCTTGTTGGTCTTCAGACAACATTCTGATGGCTAAAGAACCAAATGGGACAGGCGAAAAAAAAAGAAAAAAAAAAGAAAAGAAAATCACCTGGGATTTTCACAATTTACCCTGGGTGCTTTTTCTTTTACCTGTGTTAGAACTATGTGTGGAGTTCATAGTTGAACACCTCTCTATGCTCTGACAGTATTCTGCTTCTTTGCATGGAGATTTCACTTCATGCATTACCT